TCACAGTGAATTTCATAACTTGTTTTTCCACATAATACTATATGCAGACAAGGCATTGAAAAAGGCATCTGCTACTTACAAGTTTTTTTTATAATATTCCTTTACTGTACATATCAGTCCGACTTAATCCGAACACGAAAGCAGATATAACGTTACGTTTGTACTTCGATATGCAATATTCATTCTAATGTACTATGCCAGGAAACAATAATGAGCTATTGAAACGTTGAACGTATTTAATATACATTCATATTCAAAAAATAAAAACCTTCTCATTACATCTGAAACGTTAAAATATTTGCATATAATGTGAACCAATATAAATTTTAAAAAATATCAGGAGACCTAATCATACGCTCTGTCAGTCTCTGTATTAATCTACCGCCAACCGCGCTCCGCCTAAGCCAAAAATTCGACCAGGACAGTGAACGGGGAGTCCCTGGGACAGTCACGCTTGCTTTGCGGGGATTCCCCACAATGTTTCTACTTCCTGGTGCAGTGCCACGCCGCGCGGGGCGCTGGCGGCGGTTCCGCGATTGCCATTGTCTTACCCGGAACGCGAAACTGCTATGAGGAAATGTCACACACCTGTCGGATTCTCGAGTAGGAAAACCCGCATCAGAATTTACAGCTACAACCTACCTGCGAGAGCTAAGCACCCTCCAGGTTGCATACGTGCGGTTCGCGGAAACTTAGAGATTTTGCGGTTTGTTAACTGTCGCTCAGGCAAAAGGTGATGTCAGCCACGCCCGCTGGCTGTCGCGGCTCTTGGAAAGGGTGACGGATGACACTCTGGTGGAAACTGGCTGAGATGAGAAATGATCTTGCCAGTTTGGACATGACATCATATTTCATTGTAGCGAGAAGAATACGCATAGCGACTAAATGCCAAAGGTATTATTTTCGTACTTGGAACTGCAAGCCCGTCCAGGAAGCAAAGAGGACCTAAGCATATGATTTAAAAGTTGCCTCTCAAACATTCCTCAACAGGTCATGACCAGGTGTAAATTAATATGTAAGCAGACTATAATCTTGGGGTCCCCAAATTTCTATTAATAAATGTTTATATTATTTCATAAATGTTTATAATATATTAATATTAATTGTTAGGTTGCAATAATTATAATTTATTTTCGTATTAATATTAAATGTATATGTTCAACCAGTTAATATTATTTTAATACCCACAGTTTGCATATGCTTTGGGTTCCGTAAGATAATAGATGAATGGATACAGCCCTAAGAATGAAAAACCTATTGAAACAGAGTTCAACGTTCACTTCGGTTCGTGATTTTCGATCACCCACTAAGCGACCATCCATCTCTCGAATCAATGACTACAATTTCAATGCTCTATTGCTGCATATATATATATATATATATATATATATACATACATATATACATACATATATATATTAAATTTAACATGTTTTATTAAATGCCGGTCAATGCAGATTTTATTGCATGTGACATCTTTAATGCCTTTTTATGCTCCATTATGACATGTGTATTTCATTGCAGTGATCAGGAAATAGCACATAAGCATTCATTTAAAACCTCCGAAAACCCTGCACTCAAAGTTCTAAAACATTACACTAATATTCGAGTGGGAATTATTTGATAGTTTCTTCTCGTTCTCTGATTTCTTCTTCCTTCTCGTTCCCTCAATTGACGGTTTAATTAATGTCCGTTATCCAAATATAGAGGAACGAAAATATCGATCACAAATCTTTGCTCTTGTTTTTTCGTGCCGACATTTGCTGCTAAACTAGCATTTATTTCCGTTGTACGTCCTCATTCAAGAGAACAGTAATGCAAGTTGACATCATCTTAACCAAGGTTTTTATTTTCATTTGAATTTTCGGCGGCTTTTGATGGTGTAACCGTTAGTCCTACATGATCTGCGTCTCAATTTGTCTCTTTTAATGAGAAAAATAGTTCATAGGAAAGCTTAAGAAGAGTTCGATCTTGAAAGACAATGTGGACGTAAGAGGTTACATTGGTTTCGAGCATCCCGGTGATAATGATTAATCGATTTATAAGTCTTTCGTCATATCTGCTGAATTGTAGTTTTGTCACGTTTGAGGTTTGAGAAATTATGAATTGATAAGTGATGATCACAATGTAAAAAAAAAATGTCGAGACCCTTTCACACAAAATGCTCCGCGGCAAAATGTGTGCCGCTGCAGTTTTCTGCCCTAAGCAGGCCGCAATGACAACGACGACGATGATGTTGACAATGACGACGATGACGATGACCATGATAATGATGTCAACGAGGACGATGAAGATGACAGCCACGACGATGACACGGAAACCGATGATGACACCACGACGGTGGCAACGATGACGAAGGAGACATCGACGATGACGCTTACGGCGCTGGCGACGACGGTGCTGACGGTGAGGCGGAGGAGAGGGAGGGCCGCGCACCCGCTTCCTCCGCGCGCCGGCGAGGGGACGCCGGCTGCTCTGACCTGTGCTGTGCTATGCTGTGCTGCACTGCCGATGCGCGGGGCAGATAAGCCACGAAGCGCCGGCACCAGCGGGACGGGATCGAGTCCATCTGGCAGCAGCGACGGAGGAGACGATGGTGAAATTGACTGGATGGTGGTAGTAGTTGGCTAGCAGAGGTAGTGACGGTAGCAACGGTGGGGGCGATACATGTGGTGGTGACCTGAAGGAAGTGGCGAAGTTGGCGGCAGTAGTGGTGGTGGTGAAAGGCGGTGGTAATGGTGGTGGTAGATCTAGTGGCGAAAGCAGTGATGATGATGGCAACGTGTGGTAGAGGCGGAAGTGGTGATAGCAAAAATGGTGGTGGTGGTGGTGGCGGTACTGAGAGTGGCATTAGTAACAGTGGTGTCGACAGTAGTAGTTTTTGGGCGGTGATGATGGCGACGGGGGTGGTGCAGGAGGGGGTTACAGTTTTTTCGTCATTCCACAGTCTAGTAAGTCGCGTGGATGTTTTTATCACGGGGGATGGCAGCGGTCTTCACCCACTATACGGCGAGATTCTACACCGACCTACACGTGGGCTTACCGGAGTTTTTCCCATTCAGGTATCCCCCACTAGCGGGAGCACCGCTCCAGGCGAGACAAGCTCTAAGTTTCCGTCTGGTATTTTGACGTATGTGGTACTGGAGTGCATGTAAGTGTAAGTTTGTGCTTGAGTGTGAGAATCAGTCAGGGAAGAGGAAGGAAAGATCGAGTGCGGTCCGTTGTCCGTTTGTTAGTTACTGCTCCGGCTTTTGTCTCGTACTGCCAAGAGAAACCACGAAAAATTGCGGATCAGAGCAGCCGGCCCCTAGAATTCTCCTCCAGACCGGCTGAATTCCAGCTAGCGTCGCCAAGCTAGTGTCGAAAACCAACCTCCGTCCGGCTCGAACCCTAGGACCTCTCAGTCTGAGGCACTTCAGTAACATCAGTTGATGATGTGACCGGTGTGATTGTGATGATGGAGGTAATGGGGAAGTGATGATGGGGGTAGTGGAGGCGGGGGCGAAGCCTGTGGTTCAGGGTAGGGGATGTGGAAGGTGCAAGGCGCCGAATGGGCAGGCGGCGATGATATCGACGGTTTCGATATTAGTGGCGTTGAAGCGATGGTTGGGGCGACAGCGGTGGGTGTAATGGCACGTTTATAACGACGGCTGGCGACGGTGTCGGCGGCGGAGCAATGGAGATGGAGGTGGCCCCTGAGACGGCGGTGTTGGCGGAGCAGTGGAAATGGAGGTGACCGCAGGGGGCGTCGGCAGAGCAGTGGAAATGGGAGGTTGCCGTGGAGGCGGTGACGGAGCAATGAAGATGGAGGTGGCCGCAGAGGCGGTGGCGGAGCAGTGGATATGGAGGCCGCAGAGGCGTTGGCGGCGGCGGAACAGTGGAGATAGAGGTGGCGGCAGAGGCGGTGGCAGCGGCTGAGCAGTGGAGATGGAGGTGGCCGCAGAGGCAGGGGCGTCGCCGATTTGTTACCGGGCGATGATTCAGAGCGATCGAAATCGGAGTCCGCCTCTCGCTGTGCTTATGGAGCCTGCAATGAGCTCTGCAGATGTTCGCAGGCGAGGCGTGGCGCAACAGGTGCGATGAAGGGAAAGATTTAATAGGCAAGTTTTTGCGAGCCTCGCGCAAAAATTGTACGTTCACAATCTGTTTTGTAACATTGCAGAACGAAATAAATGAGAAGAGGTCAAAGTATCACGTTTTAATGCGGTCGAAGTGTTGTTTGTCGCTTGACGGTCATCGCCTGGGTCCTAAAGACAATGGCTTCTTCTCGAAAAGTTCTCTAAACAATGGCACGTTTCTGGACATTTTCTGGCAGAAATGAGCCGTCTGCATCATTAGCCAGTTTGGAGACAACTTTCTTTTTCCACAAAATAATTACACATTGCAATTGAGAATATATGTCTTTTTTTACTTGTAGTTAAAGGTTTGGATAGGTGTCCTGGCAAAGATCCATCTTTTCTTTGAGTGCCGACAATCAACACTGTGTCTTCTTCGTCTGAAGTGAACAAGGAAACAACTGACCTTCTTAGAACTTCATGCATCTGGGCCGCTGTTGATTCACTTGCTATGGGTTGGAGATGGCTTGTTTAAATGGCACACGTTCGTTATAATCTCAAATACGACGTAGTTTTTACATCGATCTGCTCGTAAATTTAGTAGCTTCAGTACGCACAGAAAACTCACCTCTGGGTGCAAAAGATTACAACTTAGTGTGCACAAGAGCATGCATCAGAGATAAATTTGTGTTCAACTTTAGATTGCACAAAAGCACACAAATCGGTGTGTTCGCAGACCTCTCACAGTAAAAGCATATAATTACGAAGTGTGCATAAAAGCATTGCTCATGGACCAAATACTGCAGACATATTTCAAAGATTATTAAGAAAATTGACACCTTTATTACTATATTTTTATTAGTGCTATGTTTTTTATATAATAAAAAATAGTATATTCCGTAAAAGCGGTCAATTGTTTGCATTGCGAGGATGTTTATCTCTTACCAGAGAGATGTGTGATGTTCTGGAGCTTGACGCGAAGTCAATTTGGTCGACCTGCTCAGCAACTGAAACACGCGAAAGTGCAGAACGCAATGAGCAGAAAATCTAATAATTGATTAAACATGACAGAATAGTTGAATCACATATATCTTTATTGCAGATGCTATAATTATCTTATCTGCAAATGAATGATAAAACACAACGTCCGCTGAAAAATGATTAGGATCATCCTACATATTTTTAATGATTAATATTGTGATAGTGATAGGACTCTTAGTAGAACATCTGTTTGTGAAGGCAGTATAATACGTGTCTAAAAAAATATAAAGGTTGCTTCCTATTGAGAATTGAAGTAGTTTTTTTCACATTTTATTCTTTTTTTATTCAATACTCACTGTAATCCCTTCTTTCTATCTGAAAGTTACATTAGCAACAAAAGCATACGATGAAACAAATTTACAGTAACGTAAGAATGTATTTTATGGTAGGCATCTTTATTTTTTCTTCAAGGATCTTTTTGTATCAATATTTTTTATTAAGTTTAATATTAATTAATTAATAGATAATTAATAATTCATATGTTCAGAATTTAACCTCGAAGTTTAGTGTTATTGAAACAACTTTTCTTTCGATATTTTATGGCTATTTACAACCTAAAAATCCTAAAGAATTATATTTGAGTTGTAAGCTATCGTTCTAGACACTTCACACTCATCACTATGATGGCGTTATGTTATTAAAAACCTGAAAAAAACTGTTTGATTAAATATAAAATGAATTATATTATGATGAAATGTCTATCAGTTAAACAAACCAACATCTCATTTGCACGTAATGCTGAAAGACAAAATCAACTAAAGTATTAGGTACAAAAGTACCCTAATGTAGTTCCATAAAAACACCCACCGTCATAACTATTTGCATTTTCTTCAATTGCAGGCCATTAATGTTACTGAAAATAGCATCGAAGTGGTGAGAAGTGAGTCTGATGTAGATTGAACTCGTGGATTAAATTCTCTTAAACAAAGATCTAGGGACCTGCCGCGAAGTAGGTTCTGAAACTAAACGATTCCAAAATTAGCGTTCTCAATTTGTGTATGCAACCCGCACGCTACACATGTTGAAGTACTTGGAATTGTGCCTATCTTGCGCCTTAACCATAAAGAGTTTCAAGAACAACTACTTGGAAAAAAGTTTCAGCACTACTTCACACCATGCAGTTTATAGATAATGTATGAGCACTTGAACGATGAGGCGTCTGGCGTGGTGGCATTGCAGAAAGAGGCTTTGTGCGTTGCTGCGCCAACAGGTTTCCAGCTCAGTGCACAGCTGGGGCAATCTTTCATCTTCACGTAGCATCCAGCCGGTCTCTGGACAGTCCTTCGACGGCGGGGTCCTGCCAATGCAGGGGAACCGATTGTGCTTGAGAACACCATTCCGCGATGAATGATTGATTTTCAAGTAAAAGGAAAATTCCTAATTTCAAATCTTCTCGAAAGAACAATTTTCAAGCTGAAAGTGAGAACTTTTGTCACCCCACTTATTGATACCCAATGTCTTTACACAACTAAATATAGCTGTAACTGTAGGAGTAAAAACTACAAATATTCATGTTAATATAATAATGTTAAAACTGAATGCTACTACCCATTTAACAACATTTCAGAATTAATAGTCACTAATAATGTTGACACGTCTATAAATAAACCGAAAAATGTTAACTTTGGTTAGAAAAGCAGCTACTTTGTCTTTGATATTATCAGGTGTGAAAAAACTCTTGTTGAGTGCTCTTGAAGAATAGGAGCACAACCAGCGACTAAAACACGTAAGGGGAGTAATGAACAAAACTTCAGATTATGCTGCATACGAGTAACTATATAGGACGAACTCAGCCCCCATGCCAATATTCCGCCTAATTTTGCACAAACAGAAAGGCACAAGTAACAATTAAGAGTATTTTATGTTTCAAATAACATAACAAAACTACTTAAAAATAAATAATATATTTCTACAAAATAATAAGGTTTATTAAGCAGGCAAAAATATTAGACGCGTGAGATAAAAGTAGACTAATAAACTGTTGTATATACGTGTCCCGTTGTTTCACTGAAAAAAAAGTATGGTTTCGTTTAAATCGAGCGTTTCACGCTGTCGAGCGAATATGATTAATATACCCTGAGGCGACAGAGTAGGTATAAATCAGAGAGGGAGAGTGAAGAATAATGGGAGAGGGAGTGTAATGAATAATGGAAGAGGGAGAGTGAAGAATAACGAGAGTGAGAGTGAAGAATAATGGGAGAGGCAGACTGAAGAATAATAGGAGAGGAAGTGTGAAAAATAATGGGAAAGGGAGAGTGAAGAATAACCAGAGAGAGAAAGTGACGAATAACGATGAGCTAGGAAGTCGAAGCGTGGTGTGCGTGAGTGTGTGGAAGCGACAGAGCGCCGGGGAGCCGGGTCAGTTGAGGAGGCGTGACCGGGCGAGGGCGGGCGAGGGCGGCGGCGGCGCGGGGGTTCCGGGAAGGCCGCGTGGCGCTTTCGCCGCGGCTTCCGCGAACGCCGCCGCCGGGCTTCGAAGGCGCGCCCCCTCCCGCTCGCCCTTGCGCAACGCTCGCCAGCGGCGCTCCGGCGGAGCCCAAGCGCGACCACGGCGTCTTGCTCACGAGCAGTAGCCACACCTCCCTCGACGCAAAAGAGAGGAAATCTACGTGCCACATTAAGCGTGACATCTTTTATAAACACTTAAACATTCGAGGCTTCTATGATCTAACCGTTAGCATATCGGACTATTACACCCAAGTTTGCATGTTCGAACCCGATCAAAGCGGTGGATTTGTAATGGTAAAAATCTCCTTCGCACGCCTCCATTCAGAAGGGAAATAAAGCCGGCTGTCCCACAATTTCCCATCATTGAATTGAAGCATTTCAGTAAATACAATACTACAACGGGTACTTGGCGGGAGTTATCGCGCCCTATGCACAGTTGCCAATGTTTTGTTTGTTGCATCGCCCGCATTCACCCTGAGGATAGTCGCAGTTTAACGGATGAAACATAGTCAATCGTGCCTAGGGCGCCGTGACTCTCGGATCATTCTTAATGAGACCAGTGAACGATCATCGGATATTCTGTAAAAGACATGCAATAATCTTCACTTCGTTAATAACACAGTTATTCCAGTCTAAATTTGGAGCAACACAAACTACACAATTGGAGAGACGATTTCGAAAAATCAATAGTTCCTGTTTGATATTTCGAATGTTGAATTACATAACATTACTTTTATAGTCTGAATGAATATCGAACATGAATAATATCCTTAATTTTTAGATTATGTTTAATGAAATAATGTTGAATTTCATTAAATATATTTTTGAAACTTTATATAAAAATCCTGTTAATCGATGTGTAGGACGGCGCCAAATCTCATCATTCAGCGTGGAATATCACCACCACCTCCGCAGGAAAAACATGCACGCCACTTACGGGATGATAACCTTAGCAGTTGAAGCACGAGGAAAAACTAAATAATCAATCATGATGGTAAAATTCGTCAGAGGCTTGAGATTATCTACAGAAACGTGCAAACAGTCATTAGCATCGACCTGAGCTTTCGAAATATATTAGTTTCACATGCATGAGCACCCTTTTAACAGTCAACCACTATATCAGTTCTAGAATATCCAACCTCTAGTCCAAACTTCCTCCAAGTGGCTACCACCTGGTTCGATTTTGACAAGGAAGTGCTGGGGAAAACAGAATTTTTTAAATTAAAGTATTAGGATTGAATTTTCACGCATTTTGTTAATTATACGATCGTGTCTTTTTAGATTCCGGTATAAGAGACTTTACAACCCGATGGACAAAATGTGTGAAGAGAAATACAATGTAGAAAATACTTTGTTTTTAAAACATATTAGTTTCTGAATTACAAAATGTATATAACTAGAAATTAAAGTATCTTTCATCACAAACTCCTAGACGGCTCAACCGATGTTAATTATTTTTTAGACCTGTAGATGAGTCATTTTATAATATTATCATTTCTATTTGATGGTAGGATGTTAATGCGCACTTACAGGGACGAAATTCTATTCAAAACTGACATGTTTTCGAATCTCCCTAACGAGAGCTCAGATGTGATATAACAAAGAATAAATATGTGTACAATGATTTTCACTTGAAACTTAGATCTAAAAAGACAATAGTTTTGAACGGTCAACTCATACGTCTGTATTTTTGAGTCCTTTGTGATTTCCAGCTATATCTTACGAATAAGTGCTCATATTTGAATACGAAATACAACAACAAAATTTGTAAAAAAAGTTAAAAGTGGTTTTATGAAATAAAATTGTTATAAATGAAACTCTGGATCCAAAATAGATTTTTATTCAATTGGCTGATCCCATCAAAGCCGGCAGGTAGTGCAAGTGTTTTATTAAAATTTGACAAATAAACGTCGGTTTATGTACGATCCACCCTTAAATCAAAATAATTAGCCAATTTAAAGTAGCGTAATATTTTGAGGAAAAGATAGCGACGAGTCAAACCACATGCAAATTGTAGCGACAAACATTGTGTTTGATTATTGCAGAGCAGGCACCATAATTGCGAAAACCTACAGCTCTCACGTACATATAAGTAACGAACTGAACTGTCACTGGCAAAGTAACGGGCCGATGCATCGCGCAGCAGGTGGCGCGATTTGCATGTTAACATTCCGGGGTAATTGCACGGATGCCGGGAAGGAACCCGTTCAAGGCCCCCTACAAGGATTTCTCGGAATCATTCGGAAATGCCGATCGATGGCCTATTAGAAAGTGAATTAACCGGAGAGCAAGTTCAAGTCGTTGTTTATTCAGCAGTTACAGCAATATTCGGGGAAAACTGCACGGTGTACGAAGAGAAACACACGTTTGATTGAGGGGTTCGAGAAAGAAAGCAATTTAGTTGCAATTCTAGTTTACGCGCCTGTCACACGCTCTGCAGCCGGTTTGCTGTTAGTCAACAGGGCATTCCTGGAAATATGCGATAAAGATTCAAGAACCGGAGTAAAGGTAGGTACTC